CGGGGCCTGGCTGCTGCATTCTTTAGATGTAAAGAACCATTTTACCTGTAAGAGTCATAATTCGAAGCAAGTGTTTGAGGTGTCCCTCCTCATTACTGGGTTTGGAATCCTACAAACTAAAGGAATGCTGCGATACTGCTTTTCCACCCACGCCCATGATGTGTCAAAAAACGTGTACTGAAATACCATTCATCGGGTACCTGTAAAATCAACTACAACCAAACACGCCTGGAATTTACACTAAGGATATATCAGATCTACTTGAACCTTTTAACAATGTCTCTGTACGCTAGTCTAGATGCTAAGAACGTCTAAGTGAGAAATGTGGACTTCATCCATCTAACACATACTTCAGATCCTATCTCATGTATCTAGTGTAACACCTGCCTTCACTCTTCCTTTAACACACATGGTCAACCACACCATCAACGGTCCATCTCCTACTTGTAGCTGTCTGGTTAAATACTGGGACACAAGTTCTGAGGGAACATAGGTTAGAACCGGCAAGTTAAAAGCCTGGAAAAATTGTCATTAGCAACATATATACCTAAAGCCAAACTTTGTCTGCCACATACTTACTTTACCACTTATTATCCTACTACATCAGCCACTCTCAAACATAGATATCAACCTAGACATATTATATATCATGCCTAGTTAGCTGCAGATTCTCAGACATACAAATACGCGCAACAAGACGTTCAGTCACACGCACACTGACGTAAATAGCCAATCACTGGTGCATACAGAAACAGGTACATTTACAGAGACCTTTCAATTAGTGGATTATTCCTCTCCAGTAGTTGGTTGTCAATAAATTGAGATAAGAGATGAGATTATGCAGCACGTTATCTATGGTTTGTGGCGGTGAGTGTCTCGTCATGCTCCAGTAACAGAGACAGCTCCCCTGTACCCTATGCAGAATAAACACTGATAGAGCTGAGAGAATGTGACATCATATTACTTTCTCCTGGCACTTTCATTAAAGCTGCTAAACAATAGGGCAATGGAGCCCTGAAGCTGTCTCTGCTGATGAAATACATGCACCACCTGCTCCATTGTAGATTATAGGGCTTGGTCAGGAAAGTTCATAAGATTTCCTCTGACTGACAGAGACAACATGGCAACATGATGAGTTGGCACCATGGATAAGCAGGGTGCTAGTTTAGAAGCTAAACGGAAAAATGGGGATTGTTATTAAAATGAGTGACCTTAACTAAATACCTCCAAGAAGGTGAAAATGGAATGGATACCAGCAGGATCGCACAAACTGTAAGAGAAACTTAGTGTTAAACTGGATATATCAAGGGAAAACAGAAATGATTGTTACAGAACTAAAGGCGCAACTTCATAACCAAAAAACTCTGAATAATTTAGGAATCATGAATGAAGAGAAACCATCAATGGACATCAGAGCAATGGTGGTACCAACCTATATAGGGGTGCAGTCAATGCCAAATATTGCTGCCAGAAAGTACAAGTGTAAGTGATGGACCTCCCATACTCGGACCGAGTACCTCCGCCAAGTCTGCTTCCAGGGACACTGGAACGCTTCAGCCCCAGTTGCCGAAGATTGACTGTGGTCTCTCCAGAACTTTTCCACCCAACAAAACTACAACTCTCTCTTTCCAGGCAGGTATCGTCCTCTCTGTCTATTGCTCTGCAGCTCTCTCCTTCCAACACTCTCTCCTCCGCACCTCTGTCTGCAGTGTGATCAGCTCCTGCCTTTATAAAGGCACTTGCGGCTCTCAGGCCTTGCTCTCCTTTTGACTTGTCCCGGGCTAGAGGGATCGTGCAAGCAGCCAACAGGTCCGAAGATTCTGAAGTTCCGAAGTTCCCTCAACAAATACTCACAGAACACACGGTTCCAAAAGGAACAAACATGCAATTCTTTCTTTTGGACAAGGACTAGTCTTTGGGGACTAGTCCTTAAACATATGGTGACAACTATTTAAAATACGAATATATAGAACACTGGGGAACGAGCAAATATAAATACATAAACTATACAATACAAGTAACATTTTCCCACAATAAAAAGCAACAATATAATAGAACTATGTATTTGGTTGCCCTAATTAGCATACCAGCATTATATAAATGTACACTTATATTCAGCCAGCAGTTATCTGGTAACTATGAATAGTTTGGTTTTCAATTGCTACTATCACAATCCTCTTTCCGGAGCTCTCGGGACCAGGTGGGTAGGAGACTGGCCTTCAAGCCTCTCCAAAAGTTCATGGCATGGGAGCTTTTGTCACAGTGAGAATAATGTCCGAACCCCTTTACACTCGTACCCCCACCAGAATGACCTTGGTCAGAAGTCCTAAAAAAAAGGCTTGTGGTGGCAGCTGGTTTTGAGGTGGCATTTGGCAAGTGGTAGCTTTTTTGTGATGCTAGTAAGGAGATAGTGAGGCAATGGCACCCTGGGAGGATATATCGATCATATCCCACATGGGGATTGCAGGTAAACACAGCATCACCATCCAAGATAAATAAACTTACATTATTTTGACCATCACCTGCATTGTACTTTAAAGTTGTACTTTAAGAAGTCCTCTTTGGGCACAGATACTAGAGAAATCATGTTTCACAACTTCCTAGAGTTCCCAGCTTGACATGCAAATGGGCACCGACAGGCATCGTGTTTAAGACTTCATCTTACATTTCTGCAGATATCCTTAGCTATGCATGGTGTTTTAAACACGCCTTTTTTAAATCAAAGCATGGACTATGATCCGAAAGGACCAGTGACCAGAAACCAGCCATAGACTCCAGATAAGCTGGAGATCAAGAGGGGACCACCACACCAGGAAACAGGGAATGCCGTCTTATGCATTTTGTGTGTTTAGCACTTTATCCGAGACCCTGGGAGAACACAAATAATATGACACTATAACACCAACCGTCACGCATGAAACATCTCATCATGAGCGTACTTTCCAACCCAAAACACCAACACCACTTCTATAACAACCATCACAACACACACCTCAACTCACCATATATCACTTGTTTCTCCCCAAAATTGGGACCCTCACTTCTTACATCAAACCTTTAGCAGAGAAACAGACATACCACCTAACTTACATACCAAGGTTTTAGAAGCAAAGTAGCCTATCATAATAAAAAATACACACAAAAATAATAAAAAAAACTGCTCAACTTAAAGTAAAATAATGCGATGTATAATTTTATGTGACATTGTTTTTCATAGCATCCTTGATTTTGCACACAATAAAAGTAGGACTGCAGTAAAACCACGTACATAATCTACAGCAATTTAAGCATTAATCTAATATCCCGCACCATTCGCTGGATCCCAATCCTCTTGCACGAATGCTGATTAAAATACTGGGACATAAGAAATCACCAGGCAGATCTTTTAGCAGGAGGTTAGAGCTGATATTTCTACGTAGAAAAGAACAGTTTAATCTCTTTGTACAATCAATCACCCGTTCGCAGGCAGTCAGAGAAAACCAGTCGTGACACAGTCCAGGTCTCATCTCCTGTCCAATAATGGCCTTTATTTAGTATCCTATAAACCTTACTCCATGCGAGATGCCTCCTATGCTCCCAATGAAAAAAATAAATCTCCCTGATGTAAATAATGAATCTCCATTCTGGTTTTATAGGAAAATAAAACTAACCAGCTATGCAGTACACCAATCAATATCGCAGACACGGCAGATCTTTTTAAACTACTTTTCCTGTCAGAAACAGAAGAAAAGGTCTCGTAGAGGGATTAACCAACTAAAGGGCCTAACACTAAATCAGGCTTCCCCCCAAACTCCGGCCCTCCAGATGTTGCTGAAGTACAACTCCCATGATTCTATGAATGAAATAGATAGGCTGAGAATAATGGGAGTTGTAGTTCAGCAACATCTGGAGGGCCGGAGCTTGGGGAAGCCTGCCCTAAGTATTAAACCAGAAAAATTGGTCCCAAACTAAAAAAGAAATCAACCGGAAATGTTGGAATTTCCCTTAAGAATAGAACATCTGAAGGATAAATGGATCATAGATTCTACAAAAAATGATTTACATACTAAATATAGAATCACACAAGTTAAAATGGTATATAAGAATCTCTAAAGACAATACCCACACGTAGCCAGTGCAAATATTATTTGAAAACTCCTTTATTTAGTGTTAGGGCATATGGTAAATAGTATGTCTGCTAAATGTCTAAAAATGGGATTATAATTCGCCACCGAGAGGTAGTCTCAGAATAAATAAGTATTTGGTGTAGAAGTCCTGTACAGGCTGATTGTTATATATAGTCATATTGAAACAGAATATCTACTCAAATACTACATCTGAATAACATTGTATATTTCATGGTAGCAAAAAATATACCTTGTACAACAGCAGCAGTAAAGAGCTGGGCTGGATGAGTGGTGAGAGTAGACAGTATAGAATTAAGGCTTAATGGATCATAACAGATCCTACCCTATATTGGTAAAAATCGCTATAGTGAACTAACTCCTAAGTATTACCGCGGATAAACCAAATAGTCACAGGTAAGGCAGGCTCAGACAGACACTCCTAATACCTCGGAATATAAGATCCCTACACACTTGTTATTCCTAAGAAAAAGGTGGATTGTAGGTACATAAACTCGGAGATTTGATCAAAATTCCACGTTCTATAGATGGAACACAGCCTTTTCCACGACCAACCAGTTACCTCGGGATATAGAATCCCTGCCATACATCAAACAATAGATTCTGCCTGGCCTAGAAAAAATATGGTTCAAATTCACTATATTTACCTACAGATATCTGGAAAAGAAGAGCCCAAAAAAACTGCATAGCTGAGGATTAGGGGTTTTTGAGTAGGACCATTGACATTACCAATAATTCACAGTAAAACCACATCTCAATTATTTGTAGGATATATAAGGGCCTGACAACGTTACAGGCATCAAGCTCTGTGGAGACCATTCACAGAGTTAATCTGCTGCCAAGTCCTTGTGACTAATTAGTTCCACCATATTTGAGCTGGACAGGGCTTTCCTAACATCACCACACAGGTATGAGGCATAGTTCTCCCCCTTCCCAACAACCACTCTACGAAGGAGGACAAAATAAGGACATAAATAAAATGATTGTCACTAAGATCCCTACAACCAAGAGATGCTCAGAGTAATGGTCCCCCCTCTTCGTACAAACGTTATGTAAATGGTCGAAGGGTAACAATAAGGAGATAATAGGTTTACGGTTATTTACCTGCTCCTTCCGCATTCCGATAGTGTGGGAATCATGGTTAATTAGTAGGCGTCTTCTGCAGACAGTATTTTTTGTTTTCTCTATTCTCCATTTATATTTAAATTGTCCTCTTGTTTCTGGAATTCTCTCTTTACTGGCTTTTTTTACATTTGTGAATTCCTTTATTTCAATGTAAGATGCTAGAATGATTTTAGAGTGTTCCTTTAATCTACAAATCCTTCATTAAAGGACCACTACAGGCACCCAGGCCACTTCAGCTCAATGAATTGGTCTGGGTGCCAGGTCCCCCGAGTTTTAACCCTGCAGCTGAAAACATGGCATTTTCAGAGAAACGGCTATGTTTACACTGCAGGGTTAATCCAGCCTCTAATGCCTGTCTCCTTGACAGCCACTGGCGGCCGCTTCCGCGATTTACACTGAGTAAATCGCACTTATTTGATGCCGGACGTCCTCACTGAGTCCAACGTCAAAAAATATCCCCTTAGGAAAGCATTGAGTAATGCTTTCCTATGGGCAAGTTTGAATGCGCACGCCTCTGGACGCGCATGCGCATTCGGCTCCACTCAGGAGCTGACGTCGATGGAGGAGGAGAGGTCACCAACGCCGAGGGAGCCCGGCGCTGGATTAAGGTAAGAACATAAATGGTTAATTAAACGGTGGCAAGGGCTCTATAGCATTAGGAATAGATATTTGAAATTCAGTGAATTTCACATTTAAGGTAGGAGTTGAACTGGCAGCATCGCTGATTTAGATACATTTTTCCAATTCGGCTAATTTGCCCTTAAATTTGAAATTCTCTTAATTCTCACTTTATTAAACAATCCCTGGTTTAATATGACCCGTAGTTGGTACTAGAAGAAAATAGCTTGCGGAGTTAATGGGTCGCATGGCAGTCTGATTAATAAAAAAAATTGCCATTTGTTTGGTGATGGCAACAGCAAACAGGATCTGATCACATTGCTGCAGATGAACTAATCATGGATTGCTCCATATTGACAGATCCAAGCGTGCGATGATAGATCTACCTCCTGGTCAAAAACAATGAACACAACTTTTCACTTTTACAATGCCACAAAGACGCACGCAGAGTTACACACTAACATGTGAATAGTGAAAATTCAAAAATAATATCAGCTTTTAGGACAAATTAGCTGAACGGAAAACATAAAAATTTGAAATTCTCTTTGAATTCCTGACATTTCACACTGTAGGGAATAGCTGTAAATCTTTGTACATATATCAAAGACAGAGTTGGATTAAAGGGACACTATAGTCACCAGAACAACTACAGCTTATTGAATTTGTTCTGGTGAGTAGAATCATTACATTCAGGCCTTTTGCTGTAAACACTGTCTGTCAGAGAAAATGCAGTGTTTACATTACAGCCTAGTGATAACTCCACTGGCCACTCCTCAGATGGCTGCTAGAGGTGCTTCCTGGGGCAGTGCTGCACAGTGTGACTTACATTCAGTGTCTCCACCCTCTGCATGCAGACACTGAACTTTCTTCATAGAGATTCATTGATTCAATTCATCTCTATGAGGAGATGCTGATTGGTCAGGGCTGTGTTTGAATTGTGCTGGCTCCGCCCCTGATCTGCCTCCTTGACAGTCTCAGCCAATCCTATGGGGAAGCACTGTGACAGGCTTTAATCATCACTTCTGATGATGTCAGCCATGTAGGCAGATCAGGGGCAGAGGCAGCAGCAGCAGCATCAGTCTGGAATAAAGGGAAAATGTTACTATATTTAGGGGGACGGAGGGATAGATGGTGTTTTTAACACTAAAGAGTCAGGTATACATGTTTGTGTAATTGACCATATTGTGTTCCCAATAAGGTTCCTGGATGCAAATTTGAATCAGCAGAACCCTCAACACCTCATGTTACCATTTACCTAATACTGCTTTCCTGCGTCTTGCTGTGTCTTGTACAGCAATGTAGAATATGTTGGTGAATTTTAATTAACTTTATGATAAGATCAGTATGAAATATGGCCAGATCTACTCACTGGGCTCTTCGGAATTTCTTTTCAATTCTTCGTGTTATTTTCAGCAAAGATCACAAAACAGTCTTTTCATAACTGAAAGTATCTAAAGCCGATTCTTTATCCACAAGAAAATAATTCAGAACATAACGGGATTTATTCACTAATCTGCGAATTGCGGAGAGATTGAAATCTGACTGGCGAACTGTAGCCGAAAATCGTCCAGCTGTAGCTAAAGATGAGTCGGACAATTTTTCCAAATCAGCTATTTTTTTTCCTTTGCATTTCCCAAACCAACTCATCCCAGTGAGCTGCTAGTAATAGGAGCTTGCAATCTAACACCAATAGCCTATCCTTCCGTTCTCATTTAATCTCTGCTCAGTGAATTCTGGGAGGCAAATCTGAGCTTTGCGTGTAAGACTGCGTGAATGCCTAATCCAATCAGTTACATATTACATCTTTATCTTGAAAGAATAACAGTAGAATTGAATCTACTCATTTCTCATCAAGCTCTCTAATATAATAGAACGAGATAAAATTTCCGATGCCATAGAAATCGGTCTGCCGTCAGTGAAGGCTGTGATATTTAAAGAGGAAATATCGCTAACTTAAAATTTTGAATGCAAGTAGTATATTTTATGGTTTAAATCTGGCATATTGCAGAACATGCTGGAATCCTGCATCAATTGTAAGAAAACTTTCACTTCCACCAATTTTCGCCCAGATCTGGATGAAAATTGTTCTGAAATAAGACACAGAAATAAAAATTAAATTCCAGCAATTCCTAGAGCAGCGATAGGCAACCTTGTGATTGTGATGTCCCATAGCGTGCCGGTCCTATTTTTTTAAATTGAGGTGTGTATGCTGCCGTTTTCTGCTTGTGTTATTTTTACTGTAATTGCTTTGTATCGTTGTATTTGTGCGTATATGAGCTATTATATTGTATATGTTCAGGAGTAGTTTGTGGTATTGTGTATGATACATATGAATGTGGGCTGAGTACGGGGGCTGCTTGTGGAATTGTGTGTGTGGATGGATAAGTCACATTGTGTGCGCATGTGTGGGGGCTGTTTGGGGTATTGCATGTGAGAGGCTGCATGTGTTGTTGTGTGCATGTATGTGGTTTGTTAGCGTGTTACTTTTTTAGCGGATTGTTTGTATATTTGTTTGTGGGCTGTTCATATTATTTGTATGAGGGGAGGGTTATTCTGCATTTCTGTGTATATCGAGCAGTGTGGGTGGCTTCCCTGGGTTCCAGTGGGGACCAGGCTGGTCAGGTACAGGTCAAGGACAGGAGCTGCAACAGCAGCTGCGGGCTGCTCTACTACAGTGTGGATTCCCATTCACAAGTGCTGGGAGGAAGTGACATGAGATAGTTATCTGAGCAACACCCGAGATCTGTGTTTCGCCACAATGACGCGAACGCAACGAGCGCACGCATCGCGAGGCAGGGCTAAGGGGAATGAAAAGGATCGACGGCTCACTGTGCTCTGACTGCGCTCTGATGAATATACTGCCACGAGGAGATGGCGTTCTAAGGAACAGGGAGCTTAAGTAGAAAATCGGATAGAACACGCTTACAAACCTCATAAATATGCTGCATTGGATTCAAAACAAAGAAGGAGAGGTTGTTACAGAACACTCCTGAGTTCTCCCTCGAGACAATCTATTCAAAAGCAAGTACGTACTAAGTGGGTGACTGGAGGAAATTTATATATATATGGAATTCCAGATACCTTTGGTAAAGAAAACTATTTTTTATAAAGTACTAAAGCTGCTAAAGAAGAAAGACGATATCTAGAACCTATTTAAGAAAAAAGGTAAAGTGGAATAATCTGTCCTCTAAAGTCAGAACAACGATATCTTGATATATCTGATAAAATTGCAAATGAAAGTTCACAGAAGGTTGCAATAATCAGAGAAATAGTGTCATACAAGAATTATATTAAAACGGTAAAAGCAAAAAAGCCATCTCCAAAACCACTATGGAAATTAGTACATTTGGATAAACTGAACAAAAGCACATAACCAACAGGTGCTGTTAACCCAAGCAAAAGGAAAAAAAAATGGGGGGGAAGCTGATTCAAGTAGTGGAACAACATGGCTGCAGCCAAGTTGGCAAAAAAAAAAAAGATACTAAAGAGTTAAAAAAAAGATGTCAATCAAGGTAAAGGAGCAGCAGATTTTTTCTTCTCCTAATTCCAAAAAATTGGATAAACATAATTCACTCGTAGAAGAATCTATAATGGAAGACAGGAGAATGTCATCGAATTATTTGCAAGAATTTATAAAAACCAGTCTGGAAACAGAAACTGGTACACAAGATTACTTTGTGTGCACGCCGAGCGATTGCGACAGCGTGGCTCACACCTGAGGGCCCAGAATTCACAGGGGTTATTTCCAGAATCAAAGAGTGTAGAATCATGGATGATCTAACGGCAAGGGTGAGAGGGACCATCACGACATTCTGAAAAACGTGGGAACCATGGGACAATAGCATAGTGGGCTCGGATGGAGATTGAGAGCCTCACACATATGGGAATGAACCCAAGATCTACACATCCTTGCTGAAGGTGACCTAATTGTCAACAACGTGTCTGCAATGCCCCCCCCCCCCATTCTCCCCCTCACCCGTCCTCCCCCTTTTCTATTTCTCTGGCTTTCCTTCCCCATCTTTTTTCTCTTCTTCTATCCCTCTTCCTTTCTCTTTGTTTTTTTCTTTTCTTTTTTTTTTTCTTTTTTTCTAGCAGGATCACACGGTCGGAGGAATAATGTAGCTTATGTACTAGAATGATAAGCGAACATAAAGGCCACTTGAACTACCTAACGGCCTGTCTTTGCTTAAAATATAAATTACCCCAATAGACTGTGGGCCCCAAGGGTTTATAGTAAAGAGCGCATGAAAGGATAAGGTTGCATAGTATTTCCTTATAAAGCTATGTAGTTCCTTCGGCTTCCTCGTAAGCCTAAGAGTGTATATACACATGTTCTATTTGGGGTGCAAATTAAAATTCCCA